AAAACCTCCAAAGAATTTTTTTCACCCTCTCAGACTTAATAAGAATAAAGCTGCGAGCTGACACGTCGAGAGTGTGCTCAGGTGTCCGATTCGGGGGAATGGGGGGGGGGGTATCGTGTACCCGCAGAACACCAGACATCCTCAACCTGCTCTCCTTCCCGGGAAGTTTAACTCCCTCATTGCTGACCAAAAATATATCCCTGTGTTTTTACTTTTTTTTCCCATTTCCATATTTAAAGTCCTTTCCCAAAAATCACAATTTATCTGCTTTCTTAGCATTATAAATATTGTGTATTTGTTGTACAGATATCCGTCAGGTAGGAAAGAAAGGGGGCATTACACATTTATAGAGGTCCTGGAATCACTGCAATGCAGTTCAGTAAGAAAGTTCAAAGATGCATTTTGAAAGATAACACCAGATAACAACAATAAACTTATTGCCCAGTCATATGTCATATGCACACATTTGCAAGATGCAAACAAGGCACTGAATGGCAAACGTTCAAAGTGCATTTTACTCAGAGCAGGGGTAGTGAAACCGTGCCGATCCAAAGGGCCGCCCTGGACCAATTCTGCTTTAATGGAGGCCCGGGTGTCACATGTGACAGGGCCAGGCCTTCGTGGTACAGGCAAGGAGAAATGGTGGGAAAATTAATTAATGTTCAGTTATTCACAGGATATATAAATTAAGATTTCTGCCTTCTATGATTTAGAAACCACAGAGAAATTATATGTAGAGACAGCTCCTATGGGCATGTGAGTCCTGTAATGGCTGAATGACAGCGTGTCACAGGGTCTGTGGAGGCATCCGGTAACTGCCAGTCATAGGGGAAGGGCCCCATGGGTCCACGCACAGAGGCCCTGAGCTCAGTGACCCTGCCAGACTCTCTGTGTGAAAGGGGCAGTTCCTTTCCAAACTGGGGAAGTGCTATTACCTACCGAAGATTAACCATCGGACTCGTAACCTAGCAACCAGTAAGGGTGAGGAGACTGCGATTTGGGCCAAGAGTCCTTGCTGCCGGCTCCAGCATTGGGAATACCACGTGACCGCATGTGACCTCACGTGACCGCACTGTGAACAAGTGAACATTAAGCGGTACACTACCCAGATAGGGTGGATAGGGGGCGCCACACCCACCGTATATCATAACACGTTATAAAATAACAGCGCGCACTCCGACTACAATAAGTTTAGTTAGAAGTCCCACAAATAAACTCACTGTAGAATGAGGCACACTATTTTCCGTCACATCGCAAGATTTTTAAGTTTTAGGTTAGAGGCATTTTCATCCAGATTCGTGTCCCCCAGTCTTCTCATCTATCAGGGTCGCGCTCCCGTCCCATCCAGCTGCTCCTATAATAAATCACCTGCGTTTAAACCGACTAAGTATTTAGTGATTAAAAGGCTCTAGGGAACCGCCAAAATAATCCTTCATGAATAACCTTTAAGGGTGTTTTTTCTGATCCGATTAACGATCTCTCAGAAATTACGGCCGTGTGATTAAATATGTCTTCATGTTTTCATAAACGATTCAGTGGGCAACAAGCTGCATTCGGATGATTGAATGTAAAAGTTAATCTGCACATATTCTGATGAGGTAGTAATTGATACATAGTGAATGCAGACAGGAAGATGATATATAGTGTGTTATCTGTTAAAACATTGTAACATCTGGAGCAGGTAAATACTACTGAATGGGGTTATTAAGTAGCACTGTTTTACGTCGTTTTCACTGTTTTGAAGCGAGTGAATATTGCATTCACATATGCAGTAGGTGTGATCTCCTATAAGGTAGTAGCAGCCTGGGGGCCGGGAGCACCCCGAAACAGACCAGAATACCCAGGATCACAGTGACACACCCAAAACGGGCACAGGAGCAGAGCACGCCGCCGCCTCCCGGAGAGCCTCAGATGGCGATCACTTACGTTTTAGCGCGCTTATAAGCATGTTTCCGTCCTTGATGAGTTCCTTTATGAACTTGTTCGTTCGTTCCAGCTCCGTTTCGTGACATCTGAGCCGCTCCCGGAAAGCCGGGTTGTCCAGGAGCGAGTCGCTGAACTCGAGCGCCGGCAGCCCCATGTCCTCCCAGACGCGCCCGGAAGACCCGAAGTCAGCGCGGCGCAGCCCGAAACGAGGTCTGTCGCAGGAATGCAGCCTGTCCTCCCAGGATGACGCATGCCTGTTGCTTGTTTTTCTGCCTTGACATATATGGCAGGCCATAGACTTTCTGTTCCTTCTCTTAGCACACCAATTTCGCAAGGACTTGCTGTAATGTATATGACGATACATTACAAATCGCTAAATCTTTCTAGACAAAATGTGTTTTAGGGGGGCTAGACAAATCATATGCGGGGGGTCGCTGAAATATTGTCTAGAAACGGAGTATACTTTGTAAAAATGGTTACTCTAAGAATAAAGAGCATTTCAAGCATAGGGGAACTACATCACTAGTACAGGCATGCATGAACTAATTACAGTAACTGTGCAACAGAGCAGCTGTGGGGTCCAACACTGTTTCTGCAGGGTTTTCACACACAGGTATCTCCCTTAGAATCAGTGACTGAAAAGAAGCGTGAGATGGCCAGAGGCCACACACACACACATGCTACTGCCACTAAACACATGCCAACTGATCTCTGCATTGTAACAAAAAATTCTGCAGCCTCTACTAAAAGTATTCATCAAAGTGTTCCTGTGGAGGCAAAAGCAGCCTGTTTCTGACACATAGCGTCATTGACCCAGCTGAACGTACATTGCCGACTTCTTCCATCGCACATTGCCCACGTGTTCCATCGCACAGACCCCTGCTTTTGGCATGGGGAGGCTAGTGATCAGCAGGAGTGTATAAAAAGGGGACTGTACTATGAAGCGGGGTTACTGGCTTATTGGGGTAACTTGTTGGATTTAAGGTACCACAGTTTAAATGGACATCATATTCGTTCACTTACATTTTGCCCAGACTACCTTAAATCCGACAAGTTACCCTGATAAGCCAGTAACCCCGCTTCGTAGTACAGGCCACAGGTCTTCATTAAAGCAGCAGCGTGGATGGGTTTCATATGCACATACCAGTAAGCCCCTAGTAATCCCAGCGACCCGCATTTGTGTAGCCCACAGTGGGCAATTATTGGGTCCTTTGTTGCCGGGAGATTTAATTAGCAGGATGCTGCTGGTGTATGGGCGTCTACAGGCTCATGTCACATAACAGGCGCTGATGTCACACAGCAAGTCAGGGAGAAAACATATTGATTAGCTGGTCACCTCAGTCGCCAAATTAGATTTCTTCGGATAAAGGCGTAGAGTATTAACTTTGGATCAGTGTCACTCTTATGAGGAGACCAGGAGCTGTACGGTGTACCAGTGCACTCATATGTCCCGACCTTCCCCTCAGAGCGGTGGGGGTGCAGTTTGTGTTATCGATATAATGAGCAGTATGGTGTGATATATTACAGCCAGTGCTCTTCCACTGAGCTAATGGCAACAACGGGGCCATGGAGCCGAATCAGAAAAAGTCCCGCTGACTCAGGGTGCGAGGCTACAGGAGCGGTTTTTCTTCTAACGACTGTTACAAAAAGGTTGTTCAGAACAGCACCCACCTGGTCAGTCAGCACAGTGAATTTTACTGCAGATTTGAAGAACAAAGGGTTCAATCAAAATCACAAACTTATACAGTACATACTACTACTTCACCGTTAATGTAGTACATACTGGATGTATGCATGAGAACAGTATGCATGCACTCGGACACACTGCGGTTGCCATGTAGTATATTCCCTGACATGGATGTTTATGAATGACATAGCTGGACTTCAGCGGAAGTTAAATACTGTTAAAACAGTATCAATTAAAAAATACACACTAAAACATACTTGAGTCAACCAATGTAACTGGGTATTGTTATTTATTTAAATTTGTACAGAGACAGCACTACCTCCACCATCTTCATAAAAACTTCCTTGTGGGATGGAGTATTGTCCCCCAGTTTCACACTACTAGATTCCATGGAATATAATATGTCATTCAGGTTCCGCTGGTTTACTATTTCATCCCTACTGAGGTTTCGGACATGTTGCTCACTTTGCATACTATAATTGGCCTACTACTGTACACAGCAAAGAAGTATGCTATGCGACTTCAGATACACCCAAACTGTCTGATCTCCCCTCTCTCCTCTACATGCCTTCTGATTCCCTCACTTCAACCACACCTTCCCTCCATTATCCCTCTTAAGAACATTCACACCGTCTTCAACAGTCTGTGGACATACCCTTATGCACCGTTAGATAAGGTGGATAAATTACCTATCATCTATGCCAGCAATTCTCAACCAATGGGTTGAGACCCAGCAAGTTTTGAAAGGGTTATGAGGCGGAGTTGAAAATGTAAGCATTTTAAAACCAGCAAGCTACCTTGCTGATGCACAATCAGATTTCCCAGCCCTAATCCTAGAACTAATCTATATCAACAGGTCTTGGGTCTGCAAATGATTAGCGCAAAACTAGTGAAAGCTCAGCCAATCCAAAAAGCTAAACCACAGGTGCTTAATTTAAAATTCACTGGCACATCCAATCAGACTTGTGCCGGATCTGGAAGTGGCCAGGTAATTTGTCTTTCTTGATTAGAGAGATCCATGAGAGCATAATGTAAAGCTCATAAATGGTTGTACAGTGGTACTTCAGAACTCGAATTTAATCTGTTCAGAACTCCGGATCAAATCCTAAAAAGTTCGAGTTGTGATCGAATTTCCCCCATAAGAAATAATGGAAAACCATTATTTAGCATTTAAACACAAAATTAACTGGATAAAACAAGAAGAGCATATACTGTACTAAACACATCTAAGCACATTTATCAAAACAGTATTTTTTAAAGTAAGAAAATAAATGTATCTAAACAATGTGTAAAGTTAAAAAAAACGCTTCTTCCGTGTGCCACGCCCCCTCGTTAACCCCGTGTGGAATCCCCGTGTGATCAGCTGTTTCTGGTTGTTGTCATTAGTCCTCTGTATTTCGTCTGCGTTTCAGTTTGTTTCCCCAGTCTGGTCATTGTATTGTCCGTCTGCGTTTTGCCTGCCTTACCTGTAATTAAACCCCGTATTTCCTGATACCCTGACATCTGCGCTTTTGTCTCCATTCCATCCCCACTCGGCACAACAATATTATTATAATTAAATGTA